TTACCCGGATCCCTTTACTCCTTCCTGCAGCCGGCATTGCATGGGGCTTACGCTGGGCTTGGTAGCTTGGGTGGGGTGGGGATCCTGATCTGTTCAGAGAGTGCCGGCGTCACCCGCAACTCCCGAGAAGGTGCTTCGCTCTGTTTTGACGCCGGGAAGAGCAGTATGGAGAACATGTTCATCGTGCTGGCAGGAGTCTGAGAAACGCAGCAAAAAAAAAAAAAAAAAAAAAAAAAAAAAGAGGTTAAAGGATCTTCCCATCCCGTTTCCAACTAAGATCAGACCTTGGAGAAGTCACTCCCCACCCTCCCAGGTTCCCGTCCTTCAGAGTTGAAATGTTTGGTCTCAGACTTACGGCAAACCCTGGTTTGTTGGTTTTATCTGAACCAAGCAACTGTGGCTTCTTCAAACCAGGTTTGCAAACTACCATTTCACCGCTGGCTTCTTCAAACCAGGTTTGCAAACTACCGTTTCCATTGTGGACCGAACACCCGTACAGACCTTAGATGGGCTTGGGGCCAATGTATATCCCACCAAACCACAAAAATCAATTTTTCAAGTTATATAGCCTCTCCTTCGTAGATCACAAAATCTGCAGCAATGACCGTAGAGCTAATGGGTTTCCACATTCCTGTGCAGACAGAGGTGCTTTAATGGGAGTTACGTGAACATCCAAAGTGTCGGGTGAAAATGTCCCTGGATTGTGTCCAGGGAAGCTTACAGCCATTCCTTGGGCTGCTGATTTGCCCTTGAGGCTGTTTTAAGACCGAGGCTCATGGCTTCTCCCTCCTTGGGAACGTCGGAGGAATTCAAAATAAACTTAGACAGCTCATGGCTTCTCCCTCCTTGGGAACGTCGGAGGAATTAAACAGAAACTTAGACAGCAGAGCTCCTTTGATTTGGATCCCTGCCTCGAGCAGGGGGTTAGACTAGATGGCCTTAGAGGCCCCTTCCAACGTCACGGTTCTATGATGATTCTGGGAACATGCTGACAAAGACGGAAGCCCGCAGAAGAGAAGAGTCGGAAGCGGTCGTCCTCTCCCTCCTTGGGAACGTCGGAGGAATTAAACAGAAACTTAGACAGCAGAGCTCCTTTGATTTGGATCCCTGCCTCGAGCAGGGGGTTAGACTAGATGGCCTTAGAGGCCCCTTCCAACGTCACGGTTCTATGATGATTCTGGGAACATGCTGACAAAGACGGAAGCCCGCAGAAGAGAAGAGTCGGAAGCGGTCGTCCGCTTTCTGAGCGGTCTCCTCCCTTCTCACCTTAGTTTCCTTCCTTCTCTAGAAAGGGTCCCGGAGGATGAATGGAACTTGCTGTACGTCGCCGTCACCCGGGCCAAGAGGCGTCTCATCATGCCCAAAGGTCTAACCCATCTCTTGACGTTGGCTGGGGTGAGTCGGCCGAATGGCCTCTTCTTGCGTCAATCTTGCGAGTGAGTGTCTTCCGAAAGGACCTGTCATGAACAGCCCTTCTCGAGTCCTGCAGAGTTAACAAAATGCAGCTCCCATTTTTTGGGGTTTTTTTTTACAGTCCTGCATGTTGCCATTACAGTAGTAGGTTGGACTGGGAGGGAGATGGCTGAGCTAGGCTGGCTGTCAATCTGTCTGGCCCTGGCCAATCCCCTGTTCCTTCCTGCCTCTGATTCAAAGAGAGCCCCACCTCTCTGCTTTTTTTTCCTCTGTGCTGATTCAAAGAGAGCCCTGCCTCTCTGCTTTTTTCCCCTCTCTGGAGGCAGTGAGCCTGGGGAGGCCTGTTGCTCAAAGCGGTCATGTTTTTGTAGGGCTTGTCTGCTGTTGGGTCTGTGCAGCTGTAAGTAAATGAAACATTCTTATGGTTTCTCCGACTAAAATCTCAGAGCGAATTACTGAAACTGCTTATGGTTTCTCCGACTAAAATCTCAGAGCAAGTTACTGAGACTGCTAATGAGAAAAGGGGTGGACTGCTCTGGGGAACGTGAAGCTGATTCTACACTGTGAACCCCTGCACTTCTGCTGTGCAGCGAGAGAAACTGAATCAGAAATTCAAAACACTGCAATATTCACAGCCCTGGCCACACTACTGGGGGAAAAATCACATTTATGTGGCTTTCCCTCCAAAGAGCTTATTTATTAGATTATATATCTAATCTATTAGATTTATATACGGCTGCAATATTCACAGCCCTGGCCACACTACCTGGGGGGGGTCACATTTATGTGACTTTCCCTCCAAAGGGCTTATTTATTGGATTATATATCTAATTTATTAGATTTATATATGGTTTACCATATTTTTCCGTGTATAAGACGCCCTGATGTATAAGACGACCCCCCACTTTTCTAACCCCAAATTAGAAAATTTTATGGCTGCTTTGCCCGCCACTTCCTAAGCCCTGCGGGGCTTAGCAAAAGGAGGGGGAAAACAGCGAACAAAGCAATCCTGCAGCCTTTTGATCCCTGCTTTCCCCCTCCTTTTTGTTCTCTTCTCAGCTTACTTCTGTGTATAAGACGACCGTCAATTTTTAGTCTAAAGATTTTAGACAAGAGTATTGTCTTATACTCGGAAAAAATACTGTAAATGTTATAGATAGGAAGGTCTCTGGCTCCCTCTAGTGGCCTGTTCTGGTAACGCCATCATTTTTTTTTGCGGGGGGGGGGGCTATTTCTTTAATAGTTCCAGACTGCGGATAAGTGGATCAGCAGATAGTGATCCTGTGGATAATGGCGTCGTTTATGGCATTAAGCGGTCAAGGAAGCCCACCTTTTTTTTTCTTCCTCTCTAGGAGTATTATTTGCAACCTGAGCTAACAAGCAAGGTCTGTGCAGATGTGCCGGTCCAGTGCTCGGTGCGCGGCTGCTGTAACTCCATTCCGACCGAATCCTTCTTAACCATGAAGAAAAAGCCTTTTGTTTATGTAGGTATCCCTTTTGCTAAACCGAGCAGCGAAGCTTTGTACAGATACAACTTGATGTTTATTTTTCCCCTTTCATCCCTTCCTCTGTGGTTTGTGTCTCTGTAAAACCATTTCTGGTTCTGTTTAAAATATTGTCTGGAAAGCGTTGTTTCCCTTATGGTAGAGAATAACTGGTTTGTTCAGAAACTTTGTTTTCTTATTTTAGGGTCTGTTTTAGGATGGTTATCCATTGGGGATACTCACACTCGGTGAAGTTTATTCTGCTGCTTCCGTTATAATATTATATATATATATATATTAAGGCTGTATGTAGTGCTGTGGCACTACCTGGTGGCAGAACATAAGTATTACACCAGCACTAGATTCGCAATATCAGTGAGCAGCTACAGTGGTACCTCGCTAGACGATGATCGCGCTGTACAATGAATCCGCAGGACTGTGACTTTTCCGATTGCTATAGCAATCGCAAAACGATGTTTCCTATGGGGGATTTTTGTTTGACGACAATTAGGTCTGTGCTTTGTGAACTGTTCGCAAGACGACGATGTTTTCTGGCTCCGCAAAATGGCTGCCCTGTGTTTTCCGGACCCATGCTTCGCAGGGCAGCCATGTTAACAGCTGGTCAGTGCTTGGAAAATGGCTTCCCCTATGGGCGATCTTCACTGGACGACGAGGTAGTTTCCCCATTGGAACACATTAAATGGATTTCAATGCATTCCAATGGGGAAACTGTTTTCACTGGACGATGTTTTCGCTTAACAGCGATTTCAGGGGAAAGGATTGTTGTCGTGGTGCGGGGCACCACTGTATTTTGAATTCCGGATAACAATTGTGCATAGCATCTGTTTTGGAAGATTATATGCAAACTGAAGCAACAAATATTAGGAAGAGAAAAAAAAATCATGTAAACCATAGTTTCCCACCTTGGAGCCCTGGATGTTCTTGGACTACAACTCCCAGAAGCCTTCACCACCAGCTACGCTGGCCAAGATTTCTGGGAATTGTAGGCCAAGAACATCTGGGGACCCCAGGTGGGGAACCCCGGACACAGACTGAACTATGCCAGCCATGTCTTGCCTCCTCTTTGCAAGATGTTCAGGCTCTGACTCTGGTGGCCCTCCGGCAGAAATACATTCTCAGCTTGAGGCAGAACCTGGAGGCGTTATTGCCGTTCCTTGTGGCTGGTTCCAGGATTCCCAATGGCAAAGGGCATGCCGGTTCCTGACTTGAGGTCCTCAGATGTTTTGTGGACTGCAGCTCCCAGAAGCCTTAACCCCTCCAGCTGTGCAGGCCAGGATTTCTGGGAGTTGCAGTTCAGGAAGATCTGGGGACCCCGGGCTGGGAATGTAAGATGGCAACGGCCGCTGGAGGAGACGGGCATGAAGACGGCTCATGAATCCTGTCTGCTCTCCATCTCGGCGGGTTAGGCCTCTGGCTGTAGAGCCAGAGGTTGCGAGTTCGATTCTCCCCACGGCCTCCTTGACAGGGGCTGGAGTGGATGATCCTTAGGAGTCCCTTTCAGCTCTGCCATTCTAAGAGGATGATGATGATTCATTGAGCTGTTGGCTGTGTGGGCTTAGATGTGATCCCGCCACTTAGAGAAAAAGGAAATGACTTTTCAGGATGGCAACTGGTGGAGTTTTCTTGCAGTCCCGTAAGAGAACCCTTCCCGAGCTGCAGAGGGGGAGGGTTCGTGGGAAGGTTTCCCTGCAAACGTCACGGTTTCTTCTCCGTCTTTTTCTGCCAGAGCGACGGCACCCGAGGCTCGGAGGGATTCCTTTGCCACGCCTGCGTGGAACAGCGCCTGGGCCCTCTGGTCGGCCTGACCGCCTCCCCCGAGGTGGTGCACCGCTTTTTGGTTTTTCCGACGGCCGTTCTTCCTGAACTCAGATCTTGTGCCCCCCCCTCCCCCTGAAGGGCAGCATTCAGGTTTCAGCTGCCTGTTGTGAAGAACACCTCCCCATCCCGGTTGTCTAAGACCATGTCTTCTTGACCTTGAAGGAGAGTTATGGTTCACAAGAGTAACTTTTCCATACGTTGTCCTCTTCCCCACTGGATCCAGCCTCTTCCTTGAGGGATCTGCCAACTTCTCCTGGGTTCTGACGTTGTGACAAAACAGCCCCCCCCTTCCTGTGTTATCTTTTGGGAGAAATTTTGTAAGAAGTGTATTTTGCAATAAACACATGCCATGTGCAATGTTAATGTGTCGTTGTTTCTGGATTCAGCTGACCCTCATAGGGTTTTGAGGTATCTGGGATGTTCAAGGAGAGGTTTACCACGGCCACCCCCAATTCCCTGGTTAGTTTTCTTGGCCAAGCAAGGGATTCGAATCCAAATCTCCTGAGTCCTAGTCTGACATGTGATCCTCTACCCAACCGCACTGGCTCACAGTTGTTGATAACCCTAAGTTGTGAATCTTGCACACGAATCAGCTATAGACTGGAGCTGATTTTTCTTTGTGTGTGGGGGGGAAGCTTCCATCCCAGAGAAACAGAAGAATTGCCCCCCCAAAAAGTGGATTGTTGTTGTTTTACTACACAAGGCTTATAAATGGCAACTCTCTGCTCAAGCACACGTTCAACTTCAAAGGGTTGTGAATTTGAAGGAAGGAGGTCTTTTTCAATCACCTCTGCTTGTGTCACAAGTAAGCAGTCTAAATATCCTTGTTCTGGTTGTGATGATGGAGGAAGGCTGATGATCCTTTTGCTGCAGCATTTGGAGACACTGTTTTGGAAACCTACGTGGATTTAAATATTTAGGCTGAAAATGTAGGCATCCTTCGGTCTCGAGAGACTATGTATGGAGGGCTTGGAATGGAGGGCTTGGAACAGCGCCTAGTGTGGCTGAGAAGCCCAATTCGAGAGTGACCATCGCTTCCACACTGAAGACAAATACAATCTGTCCCCTGTCCAGCTCCCTGGTTTTGCTGCTTCCGGGCCTCTTTGCCTCAGCCTGCTGAACAAGGGTCTCTTCAAATTGGGAGAGGCCGTGATGCCCGCCTGCCTCCAAGCTGAACACTCAGACGTCAAGGTTACTGATCTGATGAGATCCATTCCTATGGCCTTCAGATCCCACTTGCAGATGTCCTTGTATCGCAGCTGGGGTCTCCCTCTGGGGCAGTTTCTCTGCACTAATTCTCCATACAGGAGATCTTTTGGAATCCAACCATCAGCCATTCTCACAACATGCCCGAGCCATTGTAGACGTTGGTGTTTCAGTAATGTATTCATGCTAACAGTGTCATCAAAGCTACCAACGTGAATTTGACCCAACTCTGGGAGACAGTGGAAGACAGGAGGGCCTGGCATGCTCTGGTCCATGGGGTCACAAAGAGTTGGACACGACAAAACGACTAAACAACAACAACAATGCATGCTAAAAATTCCACCTCATTCTAGGACTACTCTATTTGGAACTTTGTCCTGCCAGGTGATACCAAAAATGTGTCGGGAGGCAACGCCTATGGAGCTTCCTCTTGCAAACTCAACCCCATGGCTTCCTCTAGCGCAATCAACCATTTTTCCTCCAGAAAGAGTTCCGGCTGGATTTGATTCAGGACCCAGTCTGAGGTATTTGCAGAACTCTCCTATCCCATTTCAAATGAATCAATTTTTTCCTCCTGCCAGTTTTCTTAACCTTTGCCGACACTTAATAAATACAAGACCAAGGAACCGTGAGACTACATGACCTTGAAATCTTGAATCTTTTGGGCACATCACGCAAAGTGAGAAATCTGGGCGATCATTAAAAGCAGAAGAAACGGGTCAAGAGCTGTAGGAAGCACAGCTTTTTGGCTTGAAGACACCGCAAACTGGCTTGGATGCAGGATCGTTGCTTTGAGCGGCTGTTGCTGCTACATCGAAAATCAAAAAATAGCTTCTGGTCGGAAAAGAAGCGGCAGTAACATCGGCTGTGTGGCGCCGAGCGGCCACCAGGTGGCAAAATAATAATGCAAATTATGGGCCGTCAAGTCCATTCTGACTTACAGAGACCTGTCTCTGGTTTTTCCAGATATTTATTTTGAGACGAGTGGGTAAGGAGAAGTGGAAGGGGGGGGAACGAGTCCCTGTATATAAAAACAAAAATAATCTTCAGTTTGACAGTTCTTCACATGACATACACACACGCCACGCCAGACAGGCTACACTCTGCTACACAAATAAACACAACCACCCCCCAAAAAAATCAGCCTCTCGAACCAACTCCTCACATGCCTCGCCAGCCATGGATTCTCACTGATCTGCTGGCCTTGAGTAGGATACACTTTTATTTATTTATTTTATTTTAGGCACGGGGACACGAGTCGCGGGACTCATTGTGAAGTTGGACTTAAAAGTGGCACCACTGACTTCATTCGAACTCGACTCCGTTCCCCCCCAATGACTGGGACTTGACTTGCAACTAGGAATCCAGCCACTCCTCCCTTTTTTTCTGGAGAAAAGCTTATTTTTAACAGGGAGTTGGGACTTGGTACCATCAGAGTCGAGACTTGAACTCAAGACTTGCCAGCATCCCCGATTTTATTCCTTTGTCACTTTCCTCCCAGCGATGGGGCCTGAGAATGGGTCAAGGAGGAGCCTTCGAATTCCCTTC